ATTTGGCACTCCAAATCGGAGTGTCTTCAGCGTTGGTAGTTCGCTTGAGAGCTACATGAGTAGAGGTGGGGATGCTGATTTGTCAGTATTTGGCACTCCAAATCTTATCCCCCACCTCTTCTCATGCCTTATCCCGTACATCACATAACCTTTCCTGCACCTCATCCCATACTTCATCTCAAACCTCATCGCATATCACGCATCGCACTGCGCTGTTGTTTCTGAATCACTTTCGCTTCCCTCAATCATTTACCTCTCTTGCACTCGTGCCTGCCCATGCTCAGTCACAGCATAATCCCTCGAGCACAGAGGGGTGCAGATGGGTGCCACACAGCAGCAGAGGATGAGTAATAGTAACCAGCCACGGGGGTTGCATTCAGTGGGTGAAGTGTGGCTGTAGCGAGGTGCAAGTTTAGAGCTGTTTGCAACGCATCAAGAAGAACCAGAAACACCTCATCAGGAATTCCTCATGTACTGCCTCCTGCATGCTAGTGAATATATCATGTGGGTGGGTGATGATCAGGGCCCAAAATTGGTTTTGGGGCACCCTGCCATATCAGGGTCCCCCTGAGCCCTTTGCCTGACAGTCAGGGTGGTTTTTTTTTTGCCCGGTGCTAGTCAGTGTGCTTTGGCTAGTATCCTGTCTTTGTAAGGCTATTTATGAAACTACCCTGTTTGCTAAGGGAAAATCAAAATGCCACTACTACTTCTGCAACATGCAACCATACATAACACACCACTAACAAAAGATTGCATCACTCATTCTCTGGTCCCTCCTGGTGCTCTGCACTTGCAGTTGTGTCAGGGACTGCTGCAAGGTTAAACTGAGTATCACTTGGGTTGCTGCCAGTGAAGTCTCGGATTGGCCGCCTGTTTCTGTCGCCACGGAAGATCCGTGCGACCTCGAACCAGTCCACGGTGTACTCAAGGAGAGAGCAGCGCATGAGGTGTCCCAGTGATGTGTCTGAGATGCTCCCCCGGCCCCACGTCTTGATAATGTTCTGCTTGCTGAACCCCCTCTCGCACTCCACCGTGCTCAGAGGCAGCACAGCGACTGCTTGCCACAGGAGCATGATGTTGGGGTAGGAGCGCTGCCACTGGTCGTCGCGCAGAGTGTTGCTGAGCGCCTGATGGAAATCTTCATCATGGTGCTGGGAATGCATAGTCGATGTAAACATCCAGAGCTCAGCGACAGCCTTCGTGTAGTTGAAGCCTGAAGGATAGGGGAAGTGAATCTCAAAGGAGTACAAAGGGCCAGATTAGCGTTGGGAGGGGGAAGGGGGGGGGGGAGAGGTGTTGGTCATTAAGAGCAGCTGCAGGTGCTGGAGGTAAGTCGACATCGGTCTGATCTTCTCTTTGAAACCGTAGCTGCAAACACGACGAACAGACGTGGAAGTATCAGTAGCTGCAGATATGACAGGCAATACAACATGCTAGAAAAAAACGTATACATTTACTTACTCCGTATAGTACGCGCCGTAGCCAGCAGTGGGCGGAAGATCCGGAAGTCCCTCTCTGGCTAGGAACCAGCAGAGAGGAACAAAGAGGGCGATTGGAGCATCCGCCTTACAAATGAACATGGCGATGTGCAGACAGCGGATTATGTGCCGTGTTGATGCGTCCGTGACTTGCCAACGCGTCAGCGTCAGTTGACGCTCACGACGCGCCACAGCTTCTGCTTCCACCTTCAAGGCGGCCTTGTGCGCCCTTGTCGCAACATGGGCGCGCATGCTGCCAAGCTGAAGATCGCGTCCACCCTCGCCCTTGACGCCGTACGTCGTGTTGGCCGCGGGATCGCCATGCAGCATGCAGATGTTGCACTTCAACGAGGGGCGGCCTGCTTTCGTGCGATGCAACCGAAGCCACGGAAAACGGGATGCCCAATCAGAGTCAAAACGGTGTTTCATGATTGCATACTCAGCGTCAGCATCCGACTTGGGTAACTCCTCATCAGCATCTACAAGCGGTGCTGCACGAGGAGGACTTGGTGGTTGGCGCGGGGGCGTTGCACCCCACAGAAGCTGCTGGGTGTATTTCACACCACCGCTGCGAGGACGCTTGGCAGGAGCGCTATTCACCGTTGACGGAGTGCTCTCGCCGCGGTTTGAAGGGCCCTCGTCACCACCAGGCACAAGATTCACGGACGGGTGTGGCTCCAAGACAGTCGGCGAGCTCGGTGACCCCCACGCATACACCATGCCGACAGAACGGACTGGTGAGTCGGGGCGAGGAGGTTCGTTGACAGAAGTGGCATAGGCTTTGCCAAGGCGGGGGAAAACCCCGAGCACAGAAAGTCCATTGCGAGGAGAAGCAGGAGCTTCTCCTGATTCCTCGTCTGGCATGGTAAGGTGGTGCTACTGGAACTGAGAGGCGGATGGAAGACAGGGTGGAAGAGAAAGGGAAGGGGTGTATGAAAGAGAAGGCTCTTGATCGAAGGGGAGGTCCTTTCAGAAAGCGCATCCACAAGGTGTGGCGCTGCGCATGCAAGCAATAAGCCAAGGAAGCCCCACCACCCACAGTCTGCAAGGACAGTACGTGGCAATGTGGTGTGGGCTCCCTTGCTGTGCTGGATGTAAAAGCTGTAGAGGCAGCGACTCACATCTTCTCTGGTGTGGTCTGTTTTGGCGAGATGACAGCGCGACAGCAACTGGTGGGGCTTTTTTTGTAACCATCTCGGCCTAGTGGCCAGATGGGCCCTGTTGTATCAAAACGACACGAAGAAAGTCTGTTTCAGTGCGTTTCGGAAAGTACCCTGACGAAACAGGGGAAATCTCGCGTAGGCCTGATTTTGCAAGTGTATTTCAAAAAGTACATTTTCACAGTCAGGGTCAAAACGTAAATACACTCACTGAATCAGGGCAATCCAGGAAAAGCGGCCCATAGCAAGGGTAGAAAGGGTAAAACACCCTTGAATTTTGGGCCCTGGTGATGATGCAGCGGCTTATGTGTTGCTTCACAGATGCCCTCTGTCCCATGGATCGTGCCCTGCCAGCCAACCAGATTAGCCAACAAAAACCCATCTCGCAAGCTGTTGCACATGCGTACATCATTTTTTGTGGTACCGTACATATCAAAGGCGGTGCCACGGTGGAGAAATATTACACTAATGAGATGCCGTATTCTCCCGGATAAAACACCCCCCCCCCGAATTGTACACCCCCGGGTAGCTTGTGCGGGGTGGGTGTTATATTCGACCCCGTTGGTACTATACCCCCCCTTTTGGGGTGATTTTCTATAACACCCCCCTTTTCTTATAGATGCCTTGCCTATTATAGTTGCTATCGAGTTCGATTCCTTACGGGAGGATTTCGCGAGAATCGTCCCTAGATGAAATTTCGCAAATACTTTCACTTCGAATCTGCCGACCCTCCCACTATCTCGCAATCGCCACGTTGGCGAATCTTCCGCTGCAAGTGGCCGAAGAGACATGAGGCACAGGGACGTGAGTCGTGACCAGATCAGTCAAGAAGTGACTGGTACAGTGACAACGCACCACCGTGCGCGATTCCAGCCTCGGCGGATTTGCCCACTGGAATTTGCCATGTGGCAGATTCCAGTGGGCGGTCACGGAATCCTCGTATACTCGGTTTTGCGGAACTGATCAGCAATCTTGAAGTGAAGTCAGACTTCTGATTTTGTTTCACAACTTTTCTGCTTCATAAAAAACATATCATATAATAAGACCCGGGTATTATGTAGGATTTTCCGTTGAGGAGACCCCCCCCATTTTTTCCGAGTGGTTTTCATAATACCCTAGGGTGTTTTATCCGGGAGAATACGGTATGTTGCTCTTCAAGGTTACAACTACAAGACAATCTCAGCATGCCCAGAGACTAGCTTGCTACCGTAACTGTCCAGCTTCTTTGTTTTTTATTCAGATGATTGTGAATGGAGTCTAGTCGAACTCCAACCCACCCGCCAGGCCGGGCCATGTGCGTGCTGCCCAAACCGGTTCGGTCCTTCGGTAATCAGTTTGGTGTGAAATTGGTGATGGACACATATACCGGCACTGCAGTGCAGTGCGGAAAGGAGTGGAAGCGAAGGTGTAAGATGTGATAACTTCCAACCGAAGCACATTGCATGGTACCGGCAATGCCGCGAGCAGAAAGATAACATGTGCGCTGAAGGAAATTTGGTTACCCTACAGCTCCTCCAATCTACAGATTATGCTGCCCCCAGTCGGACTTCACAGCCACCATTGTTGCTGCTGCAGCCCGTGGCTCATCGATCCTCATCACAGGCCTACGGGAGAGTACTGTTGGCGTGAGAACAGAATGGGAGTGCGGGGAAGAAAGAAAAGAAGGTCAGGGCATTCTGCAGAGCGAGAAGGGGGAGTGAAAGTAGCTATTGACGACATTGGAGTCAAGCAGAGCCTGCTCTTTTCTTTTTCAAGCAGAGCCTGCTCTTTTCTTTTTCAAGCAGAGCCTGCTCTTTTCTTTTTCAAGCAGAGCCTGCTCTTTTCTTTTTCAAGCAGAGCCTGCTCTTTTCTTTTTCAAGCAGAGCCTGCTCTTTTCTTTTTCAAGCAGAGCCTGCTCTTTTCTTTTTCAAGCAGAGCCTGCTCTTTTCTTTTTCAAGCAGAGCCTGCTCTTTTCTTTTTCAAGCAGAGCCTGCTCTTTTCTTTTTCAAGCAGAGCCTGCTCTTTTCTTTTTCAAGCAGAGCCTGCTCTTTTCTTTTTCAAGCAGAGCCTGCTCTTTTCTTTTTCAAGCAGAGCCTGCTCAAGCAACGCAAAAAATTGGCGATAGTCACTACTAGTGTATAGGTGACAACTAGCGCTGGAATGAGATGCACGGGGAAGCAGTGCTTTGATTCATTGTGCCTCAATTAGCCAACAAGATGTCAAAAGACAATGCAGGGCGCGATAAGCAAAGGTACGAACTGAGACAAGCGTGATCAGTAGCAATGGATGCTGGAAGAGGGAAACGGTGAGAAATGATACAGGATTCTTGCCTGCCCCACTTCTCTTACCTACGCATTCCGGTGAATAGAATAGCCATCCACAATCATGGCTTCTGCTGACTCAAACTGCCCTCCTCCCCATGAGTCAGCCTCCCACGCCTCCCTCCGGCTCGCCTCCCACCCCGGTCGTTGCCAACCGCCTTCACCACCACCACTGCTGCTCCATCAAGACTCTGCCATGCTGCCCAGCTGGTGTGCCACAGAGATGAGCCGGGCTGCTCATGCGAGTACAGGCACGCAGGTGACAGACTTCACCTCACTTCACCGCCACCATTGCTGCTGCTGCCCATGGCTCTGCCATGCTGCCCTGCTGTGTGTCATGGAATTGAGTTGGGCTCCCTCGTCGCCTGCCTCCACCCCACTCCCCACTGACCACCGCCTTCACCGCCACCAGTACTGCTGCTTCAGCAGCTCGCCAGCCGCCTCCCATGCCGCTGGCTTTGCATCGCTGCCACGAGCTGGGCTCCTTACGGCCGACACACGGCAGATGCTGTTGGTGTGCTGGGGAGTGCTGGAGGGGGATGAAAAGAAGAGGGGCATACCACTGAAGGTATAGTCACACGTCTCCGCCCCATCAATGTGAAACAGCATGGAAGCTGTCAGAACGCACGAGTTCACTCGCCACGAGGCGTAGGTAAACTCACCGGCACACGAGGCCGTACTCCTTGCCTCCCGCACTTCCTCCACCCCAAGCAGATCTAAACACTTTCCAAGTGATGGTAAGGCACAAGCCACACCCACTGTGAACAGCACGTCGTACTCCTCACTCCATGTCCTTGGATGCTCGTACTGCCCACCTGTTCCTTGGATGCACGTGAACATCTCTCCCACCATGTCGCTCAATGCTCATGACACCAAGCCTGTCGAGCATCCTCATGGTGATGACCATCCGGTTCACCACATTGCCCTCCTCTGTCCACCACATACCACATACCAACGCACATACCAGCGGCCAGCCCCACCCGCCCCCGCCGCTTCCTCTCCTCCACCCCTCAGATGCTGTTGGTGCTGTTGGTGTGGAAAGGGGAGGGGAGTGAGGGGGAGAGTGTGAAGCAGGTAGAGGCATAGTGATGAGCGAGGAGGTGGGAGTGGAAGATAGCTAATGTTGATATTGCACTTCGGGGGAAGCGCTGCGAACATTGATGATTCCATCAAGGCAAACTAGAGCCACAAGCACCCTATTGGGTGGGGACGGGGCGAGGAACCAGAAGTTGGGAAGCATGGCAGCAACATCAATGGATGGAGGAAGAGAGAGAGAGGTTGAAAAAAATGTTCAGCTTTCTCTGCATAGTAAGCATCACTCACCTGTGCGTCGGCACATCGCCCTGCCTGCAATCAGATGAGAAGCCACCTGCACGCATGGCATGTGTGCTCCCATGTGCCTGTGAGTGTGCCGCTGCGTGCCTCTGGCATTTTATACTTCACAACAGAATCAAGTATGGCATACACAAGCTTGCATCCAAAGTCAGCCAGCAAAAGTACCAGTAGTTCAGTCTCAGTTGGGGACAGGGCGCAAGCAAGATCACAAGTTACTATCCTACTCTAGGCTGTTTACAACAAGGCCTCGTCCAGCCACCTACTTGCACGCACTTCCACTCCTTGACTATGAGCTAATGTACACTCTCTCCTCTTGATACTCAGACCCTGCACCCAAACGGCCTGGCATTTCTTCTGCAGCTCCCCTCATGCAGTTATGCGAATCATTACTCACTCCTGATCTCAACCCCCGCCCGCTGCTGCCGCTGCCGCCACTGCTCTTGCCACTGCTGCTGCTGCTGCCACTGCTGCCGCTGCTGCCACTGCTGCCGCTACTGCTGCTACCACTCCATCCTCCCTCACTGCTCTCTTGCTCGCCCTTGAACCCAGATTCCTCGCCTCCCCTCCCCTTCCCCTCTTGCTCCGCCTCAACTCCCCTCCCCTTCCCCTCTTGCTCCGCCTTTACCCCCTCTCCCCTTCCCTTCCCCGCCCGCCCTGCTGATGACCGCTCCCCCCTTCATCATAAGCGATGCCAGGCAGACAATTCCCATGTAGCTCGCCTCATGCACACAGTGGTCTCTAGCCCAACCAGCCCTGCACCTGCTGCTATCCAGCTGCAAGGCACGAGCTCCACACTCCCATTCTCCAACTCTCTGCAGCATGCAAGTTGAGCTGCATGCAACCTCCATTCCATGCCTCACTCCTCCGCATGCATGCCTCCCCTCACTCTAACACCCCTGCCCTCCACGCCCCTCAGTCTCCCCTAGATAGCCACCATCAACTCCTCCCTCACCTCACCTCCCTTTGCATCATCACTCTCTGCCACCCTACCTGCCTATCCGCCTGCGCACAGCATCATTCTCAAGGAAATCCCCATTTCCAGTATTGAGAATTCTCAGCTTGGTGAGGACAGTGAGCTGCAGCAGCCCATCATCCGTGACTGACGTGCCATTTAACCAAAGATGCGCAAGCCCTATTAGCCTCCCTACATGCACCATGCCAGCATTTGTCACACCCTTGCACCCAGCAAGGCACAGCACTTTCAGAGAGGAGAGGCAAGTCAAGTGCGTGCGCCAGACCAGCATCAGTCACCTTGGTCTCAAAGAGATGGAGCTCCTTCAGAATGGTCAAGGAACCAATGCCTTCGAAGGCATTGTCAGGGACATGAGTACTCATGAGGTTTAGCGTCTCCAGCTGTGGCAGCCTGTAGAGGTCCTTGATGCCCTCTGCACTGAATCCTGAGCTAGATTCCAAGTCAATGCCCTTGAGACGTGTCATGGTGGACACATGCGTGAGCATGGCATCTGAGACGCCGTCACAACTCTTCAGACTCAGTTCCGCTCGTCGTGATGCGGACTTGATTTGCAGGAGATGATGGATGAAGAGAGCATGGATGAAGAGGGCATGGATGAAGAGCGCATGGATGAAGAGAGTATGGATGAAGAGGGCATGGATGAAGAGCGCATGGATGAAGAGAGCATGGATGAAGAGAGCATGGATGAAGAGAGCATGGATGAAGAGAGCATGGATGAAGAGAGCATGGATGAAGAGAGCATGGATGAAGAGAGCATGGATGAAGAGAGCATGGATGAAGAGAGCATGGATGAAGAGAGCATGGATGAAGAGAGCATGGATGAAGAGAGCATGGATGAAGAGAGCATGGATGAAGAGAGCATGGATGAAGAGAGCATGGATGAAGAGAGCATGGATGAAGAGAGCATGGATGAAGAGAGCATGGATGAAGAGAGCATGGATGAAGAGAGCATGGATGAAGAGAGCATGGATGAAGAGAGCATGGATGAAGAGAGCATGGATGAAGAGAGCATGGATGAAGAGAGCATGGATGAAGAGAGCATGGATGAAGAGAGCATGGATGAAGAGAGCATGGATGAAGAGAGCATGGATGAAGAGAGCATGGATGAAGAGAGCATGGATGAAGAGAGCATGGATGAAGAGCGCATGGATGAAGAGAGCATGGATGAAGAGAGCATGGATGAAGAGAGCATGGATGAAGAGAGCATGGATGAAGAGAGCATGGATGAAGAGAGCATGGATGAAGAGCGCATGGATGAAGAGCGCATGGATGAAGAGAGCATGGATGAAGAGAGCATGGATGAAGAGAGCATGGATGAAGAGCGCATGGATGAAGAGCGCATGGATGAAGAGCGCATGGATGAAGAGCGCATGGATGAAGAGAGCATGGATGAAGAGAGCATGGATGAAGAGAGCATGGATGAAGAGAGCATGGATGAAGAGAGCATGGATGAAGAGAGCATGGATGAAGAGCGCATGGATGAAGAGCGCATGGATGAAGAGAGCATGGATGAAGAGAGCATGGATGAAGAGAGCATGGATGAAGAGAGCATGGATGAAGAGCGCATGGATGAAGAGCGCATGGATGAAGAGCGCATGGATGAAGAGCGCATGGATGAAGAGAGCATGGATGAAGAGAGCATGGATGAAGAGAGCATGGATGAAGAGAGCATGGATGAAGAGCGCATGGATGAAGAGAGCATGGATGAAGAGAGCATGGATGAAGAGCGCATGGATGAAGAGCGCATGGATGAAGAGCGCATGGATGAAGAGAGCATGGATGAAGAGAGCATGGATGAAGAGAGCATGGATGAAGAGAGCATGGATGAAGAGCGCATGGATGAAGAGCGCATGGATGAAGAGCGCATGGATGAAGAGCGCATGGATGAAGAGCGCATGGATGAAGAGAGCATGGATGAAGAGAGCATGGATGAAGAGAGCATGGATGAAGAGAGCATGGATGAAGAGAGCATGGATGAAGAGAGCATGGATGAAGAGCGCATGGATGAAGAGCGCATGGATGAAGAGAGCATGGATGAAGAGAGCATGGATGAAGAGAGCATGGATGAAGAGAGCATGGATGAAGAGCGCATGGATGAAGAGCGCATGGATGAAGAGCGCATGGATGAAGAGCGCATGGATGAAGAGAGCATGGATGAAGAGAGCATGGATGAAGAGAGCATGGATGAAGAGAGCATGGATGAAGAGAGCATGGATGAAGAGAGCATGGATGAAGAGCGCATGGATGAAGAGCGCATGGATGAAGAGCGCATGGATGAAGAGCGCATGGATGGCTCACTCAACACACACCTTCCATGCCGTCTTCTGGTCGCCTCTACTCTGCTTGATTTGCAGCGCAACATTCAGTTTCAGGTTTCGTTTCTTCGGCCCTTCCTTAGAGGCCACCAGGTCCTCCGTAACATGCGGCCGATTCAACTCCTGCACCTCCCTCCTCCTCTCCTCCTCCCGTGCAAAATCCGCTGTGGTTTCTTGCTTTCTCTTTCTACTCTTCCCTTTCAGCCCTGTTCCATCCAATGCCCTACTACTGTCAACCACTTTCTCTGCCATAGCGTGCTCGTGTTTCACCAACTCCCCCTTCACCACTGCCAATTCCCCTCTAACCACTACCAACTCCCCCTTAACCGCTGTAAACTCCCCTTTCACCACAGCCAACTCCCCCTTCACTGCGGTCAGCATGTTCCGCAACTCATTCACCTCCTCCTTGTGTGCAGCCAGCTCCTCTCTCACTGCTGCCAGCACCGCCTCTTTGATTGAGCCATTCACTGCAGCCGTCACTCCCTCGGCAGCCATAGCATCCACTCACTCCCCTCAAACAACCCACTTCTAACGGCTGATCCCCCTGCGTTCAGCTGCCTTTTTCACTGCAGAATGGTGAAAGAAGACACGTGAAAACTAGGTAGGGCAGGGTTGGGCGTCGAGAGGGAAAGGAGGAACGTAAAAAGAAAAGAGGGAGAAGGGTCATGATAAGGCCAATCACACGGGCATGATGATGAGGCAGTAATGGGAGAAAGAAGGCAGGTATGGAGAAGTAGAAGAGGGAGACTTGAATGGTACACAGAGGGCTAGTCCACAACTGGAGTAGTGTCAGCCATGAAGTAAGCTGAACCAGTAGAGCAGCAAGAGTGTCCTACGTATAATGTAGGAAAGCGAGGAAAAGCTTTAAAAAAAAAAAAAAAAAAACGCTTGTCGAGAAGCAGGAGGGAGAGGGAGTCAATTGAAGACAAGAGAGGCACAAACAGGCAGAGTCCTTGCCTCGTTCTAAGAGGGCATCCAATCAAATGTGTAAATAGGCAACAGACACATGCACCAGAATTTCACATCAATAAGTGGGTGAGAAGGGCCGCAAAAAGTGGAGGTAGAACCAACAGCACTTGGACAAAATCTGGGAGGAGAAAAGAACATGATATGATGGGATGATGTATGAGGATGCGTAGCAGCAATGACGACGCGTGACATGAAACCTGGCAGCTCTTCTCCTTACCAGTCAGGCAGGCAAGAAAAGCCAGAGCGAGAACACAAGCAGGGGATCAGAAATAAGAGGGCATGGGAGAACAAAATGGTAGTAATTACCAAAGTGTGAGTGAGAAAAAGCTGCGTGGTGATGGCTTGACCGTTTGAGGTGCTTTTTGAGGTGAGACGGAACATTCCTAAAGTCAAATCGGAACGTGGCTTGAAATTCAGCGGTCAGCTTGAGACGACGGGGCTGATCGGAAACCAGTGCGCCGCAGGTTGCGCTGGTGGTTTCCTACGACACAGTTTCAAGGTCGGTTTCCTACAACACCTCCCTTTTTCATAGCTCCTCTGTTGGTTGAGGTTCGCCCAAGGAGCGTGAGACATGCCAGTTCACTTGACCTGGTCAGTTACACCTGGGGGAGGTCGAGACGGGGTCGCTCGCGGTTCACCAGGTCGATCCAATACAGGCTAGGTGGGTGCGTCACCAGGTCGGTCCAATACAGGCTAGGTGGGTGCGTCACCAGGTCGGTCCAATACAGGCTAGGTGGGTGCGTCACCAGGTCGGTCCAATACAGGCTAGGTGGGTGCGTCACCAGGTCGGTCCAATACAGGCTAGGTGGGTGCGTCACCAGGTCGGTCCAATACAGGCTAGGTGGGTGCGTCACCAGGTCGGTCCAATACAGGCTAGGTGGGTGCGTCACCAGGTCGGTCCAATACAGGCTAGGTGGGTGCGTCACCAGGTCGGTCCAATACAGGCTAGGTGGGTGCGTCACCAGCAAGGTGCAAAAAAACGACGTTTTTTTCTTTTTTTGTCGTTTTTTTCGATATCGTAATTTACGATCGTATAAAACGGAATAAAACGAGAATATTGTTGAGTCCTCTTTTGGTGGAAAAAAACGATCGTTTTTTTCGATCGTAAATTTCGTACCACATGGTACAGGTACAATTATCTCAGAATAACGCACAACTCGCAGTGAAAGGTTTCACTGTACACACAAGCAACACAAGGGGAGAGGTAGCGGGAGGATTCATGAGGGAGCACAGGCATGTGGGTTGAAGTGAATCCACCCAGTACAGAGAGGAATCGTGGGTCAGAAATTTAGACCCACGTTCGAGGCGCGACATGCAGAAATTGGGACCCACCTTCGAGGCGCGGCATACCAACACTTCGCTTCCCTGCTCTCGCTGATTTCGCAAAGCCTCGAGGCCAATTCGTGCACCCTCAAATATGAATTCGTGGAATGTGCGAAACACGAATGTCAAGACCTGCGACGCGACGTGCCAAGTTGAACACCCACATTGCTTCTGTTTGGTCCTCGAACCGCAGGTAGTTGACGCACGCATCAATTCGTCATGCTAGGGTTGGTTGCGACGTGAAAAATGTTTCGCATCCAAAAGTTTGCACTCGCTTTTTTCGCGCGCGTCATAAAAGCGTCAGAGCATGTATGGTTGCAGCGCTGCGAATAACTACAGTTGCATTTGCGACATGATATTTTGTTGCTGCACGTCAGCGAAACTTTATCACTTGGGTTTGCGACGTGACTTCCAAGTGTTGCCACGTCTTACCCACTTTCCACTTCCCGTAACGCAAATTCTGAATTCGTGGTGTCCGACACGAATTCCACGGGACTAGCGCGTAGCACGCCCAATCTCTCTGATAGTATCCAACGCCCGGCGTGAACGCATTTCAGAATCAGTAGCAAGGAATGAATGAACTATGAAAGAAAACAGCACAAGTACCAACCCTAATTGGGGTGTACCCCCTATGGGCTACCCCACTACAGCCTACAAACATGCATCAGCTATATAATAATCTGACACACCCCCATAGGCAAAGTGGGGGAGAACAAGGGGTCACAGGACCAGTCAAGCAAAGCAAAGCAAGCTCAGGGTGGATCTCAAGGATACCACACAAATTCCGAGCACAAGTTCAAGGCCACAAGGCCAGTTAACATGCAGCAGAGCATACATATAACAGTGCTAAACAAACAAGAGCAGGTATATATATATATGCAGTAGTACAGACAAGGTCAAGAGGTAAGCAAGTGAGGCCCAGCGAGCACAAGACCTAGCAAAGTGCAAAAGCGCTGATGGTCACAAGGCGGAAGTGCCTTGGTGAACACATCAGCAGTGTTGGCCTCAGTGGCCACGTGATGCAGACGAAGCTGACCACGCTGCTGCAGCTCTCGAGCAAGAAAGTAGCGCAGAGCAATGTGCTTCGTCCTGTGCTCCAGTCTGTGCTCCTGACACAAGGCAATGGCTGCCTTGTTGTCGACGTACAGCACTGGAGGAGAACGAGGCTGCTCTCCAAGGTCAGTCAGCAGGTAGGTGAGCCAGCGAAGCTCCTGGGCAGCCATGGCCGTGGCGTAGATCTCAGCCTCACAACTGGAGCTGAGAACAGAAGAAGAGCGAGTAGAGCGCCAAGAGACAGAGCCAGAGCCAAGACTGAAGGTGTAACCCTGAGACGACCGCTGCGTAGCCTGGTCGTTAGCCCAAGAAGCGTCTGAGTGCCCAGTGAGAACAGGCCGGTCTCGCCCTCCAAGCACTAGCCCCATGCCCGACGTACTGCACAAGTAGCGCAACACCCTCTTAGCTGCATCCATGTGCTCCTTCCGGTGACGGCCGGGAGCAACATAGCGTGCTAAGATGCTGAGAGGGTATGCGAGGTCAGGTCGAGTGCAGGTCATCAGGTACATGAGGCAGCCCACAAGCTCTGGATACGGGCCACTCGACTCTACGGACTCATCCGAAGGCAGAGCTGAGAGCGAGTGTCCCATAGGCAGAGGAGTGGACTGAGGCGAGGAGTACGTGAAGCCGAAGCGCTGAAGGACCTGCTGCACCATGTGTGACTGAGTCAGGGTAATGGTGCGCCGTGCTCTGTCCCGGGTGATCCGCAAGTCAAGATAGCTTGTCAGATCACCCAGGTCTGTGCACGTGTGTCTCTTCTGCAGCTCGGACTTCACGTGGGCGAGTGCAGCTGTGTCCGCACTGGCAAAGACCAAGTCGTCGACGTACACGAGGATGTAGAACGGCGGCAGCGAGGTGTCGGTGCGTAGAAACAGCGACGGGTCAGCAGTAGAAGGAGCGAACCCAAGAGCCGCAAGTGTAGTCCTCAGTGTGTCGTGCCACTCACGTGGAGCCTGGCGGAGATCGTAGACTGGCCGCCGGAGGCTCCACTGGGTACCAGGAGGAAACGACCCAGTGAAGCCAGGAGGGCGGCGCAGCCAGATCTCCTCGTGCAGGCGACCCTGCAGGAAAGCAGTGCTGAAGTCAAGAGAGTGTAGCTCGTAGTCACGCTGAGCAGCGACGTGCAGCAGAACCCGAAGAGTGGTCATCTTCGGGGTCGGGGAGAAGGTCTGGAAGAAGTCAACTCCCTGCCGCTGACTGAAGCCACGAGCCACGTACCGCGCCTTGAAGACAGGCGGAGAACCCGGCGGCCGCTTCACCCTGAAAATCCACATGCCACTGACGATGTTCGCCCCAGGTGGGGGAACCTCGTCGACGCAGGTGTCTGTGGACTTCCAGGAAGCGATCTCTGCGTCCATGGCTGACTGCCACTGAGAGGAGTAGGGACCGGCCATCGCCTCTGCGTAAGAGCGTGGGGTCGGGATGTCAAGAGCATCTGGGTCTCCCTCAGGGGCAACAAGCATGGACACGAGATGGGGCAAAGCAGCAGCAAAGCACTGGAACTCCTCCTGCCTGTCCTCAAGGACGTCCGTGCCAAGAGCACAGTCACCCCCGACGGACGGAGGACAGGCAGACGCAGACTCAGCAGACTCAGAGTCAGCAACAAGACTGGCAGCGTAGTCTAGACGACACGCAGCAGCAAAGTCGACCAGCTCAGCAACTAAGGCAGACGCAGCAGCAGACTCAAAGGAAGGGTCAGTGTCAATAGTAGCAAGGAGACGCGTGATAGTAGGACTGGCAGCACGAAGAGAGTCCGACTCTGGGTCGGCAAGTGTAGGAAGAGAAGACTGAGGAGGAGAAGGCAAAGGGGCACGCAGAGGAGCAGTGGACGGACGCAGAGACATCCTATGCGTGCCAAGGACAGGAGGAGGACGCTGACGTGAACCGCGACCACTAGGGCGAGCAGCACGGACAGGCGACGCAGGGCGGGACGCAGGCTCACGACGCTCAGCAAGACCTCCATTAGGACCAGTGTAGGGAGACGGAGAAGGCAGTGGAGAGGCGGGCTGTAACTGTAACTGCGACGGGACAGGCTGTGGACACTCTAAGGGAGGAGAAGGACCAGTGGAAGGCGGGAGACCAAGAACCTTCTGAAGGAGCGGAACGAAGTACGGCCGAGGCCGCGCAGCACCTCCAGACACAGCAGGGACAGCACCAGCACCTCCAGAGGCAGCACCAGCACCAGTA